TCTGGATGTTGTTCCTTCTGCCTTACCTTTGTCATCTTAGGCTCTCAAGTGCACTACTAGCTCCTCTCTTCATCTCCTCCATCAGTTTGGGTCATCCGTCCTTTAGTGTTTTAGAGAAACTTTGTCCTCCTTTAGTTCATGATTGTCCTAGGCATAATTTTGGTTGTGATACTTGTGAACTTGCAAAGCATAAACGTACTTGTTATCCTTCCATTAATAAAAGAAGTACTTTTCCTTTTATGCTTATTCATACCGATGTGTGGAGCCCCTCCCCTATGGTTTTTACTTCTGGGTATCGGTGGTTTGTCACTTTTATTGATTGTTATTCCCATGTGACTTGGATTTACTTGCTTCGAACTAAAAGTGAAGCGTTTCTTGTTTTTAAATTTTTCGCACTGGTTGTTGTGTAGGAGGCTGCGTTACAGTTGATTGGATATTTGGAATTGCTTGAGGGGGTTGCACCATTCCAAGCATAATTTGTGCCTGGAAAAGAGCTTTAGTCAAGAGAGGATTTTGGATGAGAATTTGCCTCGCTTGTTGCTGGTTCTGTTCAATCAGTGTCTTCATCTGACACATAATGTCGTAGAGCTGGTTCTTCGACATTCCGGCGAGGTTCGCCGATAACCCTTCGCCGTCGGCCCCCTTTCCCGCCATTGTTGTGAGTGAGAGAGAGAGAGAGAGAGTTTCTTTCAAAACCGTAAGCAGAGACCGAAGGGAGTGAGAGAGCCGCCGTCAGTGAGCTAAGCAACTGAGAGGAGAGAAAATGAGAGTGAAGAGAAATTTGGAAGTTTCAACTGGGATGGGCCAAGAACAGAGGAAGCTTCAAGGAAGAAAATTGGTGGTGAGATAGAAGAAATTTCAAGGTATGTGTAGAAAATTCTAGCGGACTAAGTTGAGGTCCGGCGGGCGGCTAAGGTGAGGTTGCCGCCGGCCGGGGAAGCGAAAAATACTAGGTTCTAAACCTGCTCTGATACCATGTAAAATAAATTGATAGAGATAAATTGTATGTATTATTGATTGATGTATGTTGTATATTACACATGGTGAGTATGTTCTTTATATAGGAGATGTAGTAGGTGAAGTGGGTGGAGTAGGTGTAGTAGGTGGTGGAGTAGGTGAAGTGGGTGGAGTAGGTGTAATGGAGTAGGTGAAGTGGGTGAAGTAGGTGGTAGGTTTTAACAGTTGCTGAACGCAAGAATGGCCATCTCTTTGAAGTTGCTCGCTCTCTCTTGTTTACCATGAATGTCCCTCAGTCTTTTTGGGGTGAAGTTGTTCTTACCACTGCCTACCTTATTAACCGTACGCCTTCCAATGTCCTTTAATTTCAAATTCCTCTCGAACTTCTACCTATCACTTATCCCACCCATTCTCTTCCTCCTCGGGTTTGGGTGTGTCTATTTTGTTCATCTCCAACCTCGTGCTCGTGGGAAGCTTGATCCTAAGGCTTTGTGTTGTGTCTTTATTGGCTATTCTGCTACTCAGAAGGGTTACAAATGCTATGACCCATACACTCGTAAAGTGTATGTTAGTATGGATGTCACATTCTGTGAATCTGAGTCCTTTTTTACTTCTTCTCCTCCATCTCCTCAGGGAGAGCGTGTTACGGATGAGATTGCGGATGAGTCATATCAACATGAGTTATATTTTTTCCTTCCTAGTCAGCGGTCTATTATTTGTGGTGACGGGGAGCCTAATTGTTCTCTTGATGTGGAGCTTGACATTGGTGGTCATATGGATAGAGCTAATCTTAAGACTTACTCACAGCATCAGAAAGAACAGACTCCTCTTGTGCCACCAAGTCAATCATCATCCCTTGTGTCAGCTCTACATCTTGTTTCGGCTTATTCTCCAAGTAATGACCCTCCGTCTACTTCTCCACCAGTAGTTAATAGTCCTATTGTTGATGATTTGAGTCTTCCTATCGCTCTTAAAAATGGGGTTAGGGCCTATACTCAACACCCCATTTCTAAATTTATGTCATATGATTCATTGTCTCCTACATATCGTGTTTGTGTTTCGTCTCTGTCTTTTGTGTGTATCCCACAAGGTTGGAAAGCAGCTATCAATGATCCTAAGTGGAAAGTAGCTATGGTAGAGGAGATGTAAGCTCTAAGCAAGAATAACACTTGGGAGTTGGTTTCTCTTCCTAGTGGAAAAAAACCAGTAGGGTGCTAGTGGGTGTTCACCATTAAGGATAAAGTAGATGGGACAATTGAACGGTACAAAGCAAGAGTAGTGGCCAAGGGGTTTACCTAGAAGTATGGAATTGATTATCAAGAAACCTTTGCTCCTATTGCAAAGATGAATTCCATTTGAGCTCTTCTTTCATGTGCTGCTAACTTGGGATGGTCTTTGCAACAACTGGATGTGAAGAATGCCTTTCTCCATGGTGACTTGGAGGAGGAGGAGGTGTATATGGATGTACCACCGGGATTCTCATCTCAGTTTACAGTTAGCAAAGTTTGTAGGTTCAATAAGGATCTATATGGTTTGAAACAATCTCCCCAAGCTTGGTTTGACCGATTTCTAAAGGCTATGTTGAGATTCGAGAATAAGCAGAGCAATGCAAATCACACCATGTTTGTCAAACAAAATGCAAATAAGGTTGGTGTGCTTATTGTATATGTGGATAACATAGTAGTGACAGGAAATGATGAGGAGGAAGTGACGCATCTCAAGAGGCAATTGGCCAAGGAATCTGAGATCAAAGATCTTGGCTCGTTGAGATACTTTCTTGGAATTGAAGTTGCTAGATCTGACAAAGGCATCTTTATTTCTCAAATGAAGTATGTTCTAGACCTTCTTGGGAAAACTGGCATGTTAGGTTGCAAACCTTCTGATTCGCCCATTAAAGCTAACCATCATCTTTGCAGTGGTGTTGGTGATCTTGTGGATAAGGATAGGTACCAGAGACTTGTGGGAAGACTTATATATCTATCCTATAGTCTCGATATTGCTTATGTAGTCGGGATAGTGAGTCAGTTCATGCATGATCCTCGTGCAACACATTTAGATGCAGCATATCGCATTTTAAGGTACCTTAAATTAGCTCTGGGAAAAGGGATTCTGTTTTCAAATCATAGCCACTTGAGGTTAGAGGTCTTCACGGATGCAGATTGGGCTAGTTCTATAGATGACAAGCGATCTACTTCTGGTTACTGCGCTTTTGTGGGGGGGAATTTGGTTACCTGACGTAGTAAGGAGCAAGCAGTGGTGTCTAGGTCTAGTGCAAAAGCAGAATATAGAGCTATGGCACATGGTACATGTGAACTTATGTGGCTTCAATCCTTGTTGGGTGATATAGGAATCATTTGTGATGGACCCGTGACTTTGTATTATGACAACAAAGTTACTATCGGTATTGCTCACAATCTTGTTCAACATGATAGGACTAAGCACATTGAAATCAACAAACATTTTATTAAGGAGAAACTGACTAAGGGTTTGATATGTCTGCCTTATGTGAAGTCAGAAGATCAATTGACTGACATATTTACTAAAGGTCTTGGCAATAAGGTATTCCATCATATTTGTTACAAATTGGGCATAAGAGATATATTTGCACCAACTTAAGAGGGAGTGTTAAGTGTTATTGTTATCTAAGGGTAGTTTAGTACTTTAGCATATGTCTATGTTTATTAGGTTAAATACGTATGCTTAAGTTGTAACCCTATTATCATTGAAATAATATTACAGCAGCTGCTTCTCTCTTTCTCTCTCGGTTCATTCTTCTTCCTCTTCTTCTTCATCTGTATAGCTAACAACTCCTTTTGTGAAGTCTAGCGAACAACTTGCGAATATTCTCACCAAGAGAGTTGGGAATAAACCATTTCATGATGCTCTTAGCAAGCTAGTAATGAGAGATATTTGTGTACCAGCTTGAGGGACAGTGTTAGCATTGTTAGCATTATATTTTTATTATTGTCTTTCCTTATTTAATTGTAATGAGCTGTCATTAGTTGTAGTGGTCATTAGCTGTAAAAGCTTCTCATGTAAGTTTGTAGCCTTTCATATAAAAGAGGGTGATAACCTAATCACTCCCTAAGGTTTTGATTTCTCTTAAACTAATATGTCTTGCTCCAAATGTGATTTGAAATAATATTATATGCCATCCACAGGAAGTCTCCAAACACCAGGGGACTTGTTTGGCAGGAGCTAACTGCTACGTGACACTAAAGGGATAGTCGATAGCCACCTCTAGAATCTGTGAGAGCCACATCTTGAACCCCTTATATGGCATGTTATAGAGAGCTCTCCCTATGTTTGCAACTATGTAGCCCTCTGTTTTGGAGTCTGTATCAACATGTGTCGCCCCTCCATTACCCAATTTAGATGTGCACCTCTGAATGAATACTGTAAATGTGAAATACAATATCTAATTTCCATGTGATTTACGAGATAGGATGAATGTTCTGTTATGAATTCATATGATGCCCTACAATGAAATTCGTGCTTTTGGAAGGTTATTTTTTATTCTTGTTCACACGATTTAAGCTTAATAATATTATGCTCTTACTACTTTTGAGAATCCATATTATGAACTTCTGATCCAGCTCTGGGTTATTCATTAAGCTGGCCAGCTTACCCCATTTTTACACATTTCAGGTGGCAAGGACTGACCTGTGGATCACGTGGAAGACACAAGTGAATTCACTTTTGTAATCCTGTATATGGCTTAATGTTGACGCCTTAATTATGTAATATACAAGTAAAATCTTGTGACTATAAAGGTGAAGTAAACGCCTTGTATTTTAGGCTTATGCTCTGTTACTTCAATGATTCACTACTTCCTCTTATATTAATGCACAATTTGTATTATTTTTGCACTCCATTTGACATGAATAGGCCTTCGGTAGTGCAAACTACTGGCCGGTCACACCTAATAATTGATCATCTAGTATCTGCTATAAGGACACGTCGCGAGCAATACAGCATGCATTCTGCATCTAGACCATGTCACGGATTATATAATTTGTAAGGCATGGTAATAGTACTCTCACCTCCACAGGAACACCATCTTCTACATGACCTTCCAAGATTAGTATCTTTTGCAATGATGCTGCAGCCGTCTGGAGTACATGCCGTACTACCTCTCTTGGCCTGAATTTTGCAGCTTCCAACTTCATAACTCCTAGAGAAAAAAATGAACATTCAATTTGAAAACCATGATTAGTTAAAAATCCAAGAAATATCAGCTTGTTTGGATTTCATAGTCGTTATTGTCAACTATGAACAATAACTATAAAATAGACCAAAGACATAATAAAAGAGAAAATTCAAAAGAATGGCTGCACAGTGGAATGCTGTATAGTTATTGTAAGACCAAGATGCCAGTGTTACATAGACTAAGGCCAGAGTATTAATTATAAATGAGTGTCTCATTGTCTTCCTCACATTTGACCCCTTCTTGCATGTACAGAGACAGACTAACACACAAACTGAACTAAATAGGATGCGTAATATATAGAGGGAACAAACACATATGATATGATGAGCCTTCAAACTTAGGACCCCTAGAACCTGAGCTCTGATACCATATTAGGTCACCAATTGCCCAAAAGCTTAAGCTATTAGGGAATTGACCGAACAATGTGAATCAAGCTCTCACACAAACAATATAAACAAGGACTAGAACATATAGACATTAAGGGATGAAACTTCAAACCTGACTCAACTTTGGAAAGATCAAGAATGTCATTTATAAGTTGAAGGACTAAATCTCCTGAAGATAACATGACCTTCAACAGTTGTCGTTGCTCCTTGTCAAGGTTTGTGGTGGAAAGAATCTCAGCCATGCTTACAACTCCTGATAATGGAGATCTTATCTCATGAGACATGGTAGCTAGCATTTGCTTTGCTCGCATTGTTTCCTCTACAATGACAAATAGGTAAAAAGTGAAAACCGTTTTGTCTTCTAAAGCTGATTCAAGAAACAGTTATAACCCACCAAGAATTAATCAGATAAATAAACCTGTTATATGAATTGTCTTGCTAAGTTCTGTCTCCTTGGCCTTTTGTACTGCTATTTCCTCTCGAAGTTTTGCCATCTTTTCCCTTTTTCTCACCTGTTGTGTAATCAGGAACATATTACGCCTTTTCTTCTCATGTTTAATGATTACCGAAAACTAAAACTGGAATAATAAAGTCGGAATGAGGAAAGGAAGCCGAGAAAACACACACACACACACCCGAGAGTAAAGCATAACAAGAGCACAGCTACAATGCGAAAGGAATTTAACCCAAAGATATAGAAATTCCCTTGTAATATTGCAAAACTTATTGCATTGATCCACATTCTTCTACCATTTTCACCCTGAAAAATGATATCTTTAACCATCATCTTAGAAATGTTTAATGGATCAAGAAAAAAAATGTCTTCCAAGAGCCCAAGTGTTCCAAAATTCTATAGATGTGTTCATCATAAAAGTAGAACTTAAAAATAAAAAATAAAAAAGGAAAAAAAGAAAAGAAGTTTTCCTGACATTGAAGTAACTATTTAATATAGAGAAAACTAAAATATTTACAAAAAAGTTAAATATAATTTACTCCACCATTTGGTATTTAGCCGTATATATTGAAAATCAACTCTCTCAAACTTGTGATTCATAACAATCAGATTACTCAAGCCTTTCTTCTCTGGTTTGTAACAGAAGCCATTGATTAAAATATTAAAAATACTAATAAGATTTGTTTTACAAAATGGCAATCACAAATGAAGTTATAAATAAGACTAGTGTTGAATGTTTTGTAGAAGACAACCATGGCACCATATAGACAGTTAAACATTATGAATGAGCTCACCTGATCAGTTACATCCATACCCATATAATTCACTCCAATAGTATCTCCTGCTTTGCTGAAGACAGGTTCCACATATATCAAAAATGTCTTTGACCCAAATAGTTCTGTCTCAAAAGTAATTTCCCTTTTTGCAGGTAATCCTCGTTCCAAAACTTCTCTTTTGAAGTCTTGAGATTCCTTAACACCAGCACCTGTGAATATCTCCACATCTGTTCTTCCTATAATGTCCTGAAAAATCAGTGATTTTGAGGAATTCCTGAGCCAGATTCTGCAAACAGTGCTTTAAAAAAGCAAAATGATTTATAAATATAAACAAATTAATGTGAAAATAAAATCACTACTTCAAATAATCAAAATGTTGTTACATTTCACAGCAACATTGACCTAAAAAATGCAACTTGTAGGAGAAAATATAACTTTACAACAAGAAGCCTCAAACCCACAACGAAATTTTCATTTGCAGTCAATTACCTCCTCTTGCAAACTTGGAAAATGATTATAGATGAAACGATATTTCAACTCGTTATCCTGAAAGAAAAGAAAAATGGAACACTAAGATATAATTGAAGTTATCATGAAAATTATTGTAAATGATTAAGAACATTAAAATGACATCAACAAAATAAAGAAAATTCATTGACTCAAGAAATGTATAGAACACTATACCAGAGTTCACGCTGAATAACTGCCTAATAAATATTGTGTTCATACTGAGTTGCATCTATATGCACTGGCACATCATGCAAATCTACCAATATCAGAGTGCTCATTGACTTCCTAAACTAAATACAAGTCCCATCATCAATCCCTTCTACCATAACAAAAGCATTCTAGGCGGTTTGGGAACAAAGGTTGGTGGTGATATTGGGTAGCTAACTTGGCTGTACCTATTTTTTAAATTTTGAAATGCTTAGAGGCCAATAAAAGTGAGAAAATAATTTTAGCAGAAGAATTCACGTAGATAAAAAATGAAACAGAATTTTGAGTATCCAAACACCAGATGAGAGGGACACTTGTTCCAAATTCCAATGGGAAAATGTACAATCATAGAATTTTTACATATTAAGAAAATTCATTGGCTCGTGAAGATTTAGTAAATCAAGAGTTTGATGTGCCCTAAACTGCTGTGTACTTGACTATGTTTCCATCTTCTATATTTTTTAAGGAAAATGTGGATCAAGTGTAATAAAGTTTGGAAAAGAAACAGCTTTCTTTTCTAAATTTTGTGCATGCATATGTGTCGTTTGCATTAAAACGGTCCATTTGTGTCTTTACTGCTAGTCCCAAACTTTAAGGCACCGAGTTTGTTGACCTTATACATGGATAATTAGAACTCAACCTAAAAAGGGTGTAATTGAATGACAAGTGTCCTAAGATAGGAGATCCACATGTCCCATGTGCTAGCTCAAATGACAAGTGTCCTAAGATAGGAGATCCATGTGTCCCATATGCTAGCTGACAAATAGTTAATCAATGTGATATAATATTTACACGTGACGCAAATATAGAATGTGCCTAAATACCATTTGATAATACAAACAGTCAGAATGCACAAGAGTTGAATAATAGGGTTAGGGCTAGAGAGGAAGAGAGAGAGAAGAGAAGATGTTTTGACTAATTGGTTTAGAGTTGTGAAAATCAACCCTACTCCAGCAGTATATATTTCTATGAAGACATATTACAATATGACCATAGAACCCTCAACTAATAAAATAATAACATAATAACATATGACTATTCTAACACAAACAATGCAGATTTTTGAGAAACTGTGATTTAAAGTTCTAATAAATAGATGATCCAACTCCAATGACTAGTGTTACATTCTGAATCAGACTACATTTTCCTGGTGAAGAGCATCTAACTATAGTTACACACCATTGTAATTTTACCAATTCTTCAGTCTATTGAGTAATGACTATAAAAGTTTCTACAACCTTTTTTATAGGAGTAAAATCCCATTGAATTGCACCTCACAATATGAAGGGGATAACTTCATTGCATCAATCAAGTGGTAGTTGATGACTTAAAGCTAGCTTCTTTATAGTTTAAAAACAAATTAACTTCTGATTCTAGAAATACTGGGTATCTAAACTATACCTGACTTCCTACATATTTTAATACATGAGTATGCTTAATGATCTTAATAGACATATATATACAATTTTTTTTTTTCTCCTAAATTTCATGATGTATAACTTCTTACAGGATCAAGTTGTAACCTTGTATGTCCTGGAATATGATTTCTATCACATGATATCTGTAGTAAATTACCTGATGGCCTATGACAACCGGTGCAGTCTGAAGAATAAAATGTAAGAAATTATCTGCTCTTTTTAAAATCTGGGACAATTCTTCCACCGGTGAGGACTGCCTTTCCAAATTCTTTATGCTTTCCTCCAATCTATCCATGAGCGTCTGCTCCCGCTGGATGCTAGCCTCCAACAATTTCTCTAAATGCATGGCCCGCTGCTTCCAGTATATGACAGTGTTATACTCAGCATCTATTTCTTCTCCTTTATTTTGAACAACCACATCATTTCTCGTCCGAGGAACAGCTGGCCATATATCATACAATCCATCCAATATAGAAATTGGACGTTTATCACCACAATCCGCTCTTCCTCAAAAACGATGTTCTTCCAAAATCTCCAATTGCTTGAGCTCAAATTCATGCTTTTGTTTGCTCAGGTAGTCTAGCTCTTCTTTGAGAAGTCGCACAGCATTGGCCTGCTTATATTCCCAGTTCTTTACAAGATATGCCAACTGAGATGAGCCCTTCTCACTATAATTGGTTAGCTCTGAAAGACGCTTGAAATCAACTATCGTAGTCTCTTCAATGATTGTAACTTCCTCTAACATATCTTGATCTGCTCCTGGCCTTTCTACATTGAATTGCTTTCCGGCTTCGTTTATATCTTCGGGCCACATTGAAGAGAGGACTTCAATGTCCATTTCTTCTACATTCTCATTCTCCATTTCACAAACCAATAAAGTCACTTATTTATATTAAATCCAATTCAAGTGCCTGCAATGTAGATGAACATCAACTTGCTACTATACCATGCTTGAGGTTATCACTATGTAACATTTGAGTTCCACAAAATCAGAGTTAAGACAAAAATAGGCAAATACTTGAAAGCGCGAAAGCTTTGCTGGACCTTTCAAGGGGAAGTTCCAAATCTGATTGAATATTAAAGCAAAAGTTAGAAATTACGTAATTCAATTTAAACAAATTACATTTTGATCACTTATAAAATTGAATGTGCAAAGGAAGATTGAAAATGGTAGATATTACATTGATTTAACAATATGTTGTCTAAAAATAATTATTTATTAGCCTATGAACAGTAAGGTCAAAGTAATTGATTAGTTGTTAAGAAAATTACAAGCAAACAATAAGAACACAAATGTTTTTCCTTTCTTTAATGGTATTTTAGACCTTTTCTTCTTTTTATTATTATTTTTTTTCTTTTTGAGCAATCTTTATTCTGAAATATCCACCCACATTAAATAACCAAGTATCTATATGAAAATTCCTCAAAACAAAAATCCACCTTAATATCATCTTTTCCTTCTTAATTTGAAACTTCCTTGATTTCCGTCATCCACTTCGTATATTCCTCAAGGCCGTGTTCGGTTCATGGATTTGGGTGGGGATTTGGAAAGAAAAAGAAAAAAAAGTGTGTGAACGGTGTGTGAAATGTAATTATGTTTCATTCACATTTCATACTTTTTCCCTTTCTACATTCAAATCCCTACCCAAATTTTCCCTTTCCATTTTCAAATCCCTACCCAAATCTATGAACCAAACATAACGTAAAACATTGACTTTGATTTGCATCACATTCTTACATTAATCCAGGCCTTTTAATAAAGATTTCACGTTGCCAAACATAAGGCACCACCTTGAACATCAAAAGTTCAATCCCAGTATTAACACCTAATATAATAATTTTTTTTTTTTAAGAGGGAAAAAAGTTACAGAATGATTAAATCCTAAGAATCATCCTGATTGGACACAGTACACATTACACAAAAGTAATCAGAATTGCAGTATCATTAAAGGAACTTTACAGCTTGTGAAAGTGCATTGTATAAATATATATATATATATATATATAATATATGTGTATGATGAAAGTGCATATACAAGGAAAGTAGATGGCACAAATAGCAGATTAGAATCATCATTTTCCCTAATTGACCCTAGTCCCACCTTTATCTCAAATCCAACTCAACACAGCTAATGAGGTAAGCCTCTTATTGCAAAACCCAATTGCAGAAAGTATATATATACCCAGATTAAGAATTTTTATTTTGGATCATCCCAATTCAACATTATGAGTTTCCTAATTATGTAGACAACTAAAAAAATAAAAAAAAATTGAATGAGAGCTACCATAACTAAAATGAAATACAGATACCACATAACAAGTCCAATCTTTGCAATTGTAATTAATTAACAAAAATTCCAATAAAATATGTGTCTGAAACAAGTTGCCACAAATCTTATTAATCAAAAAAAAAATATATTAAAAATAAGGAAATAAATAAATAAGTGAAAAACTTCAAACTTTGTTCTCATAGTAAACATAATCAATAAAATTCAAGTATTTTCAATATTGAAAAACTTCAAACTTTGTAAATTGAAATGACAGAAATGCAAACTTGTCAAAGAAAATGTGAAAAGAAGGGTTGAAACTGAACCCGAATTGGAGGGAATGAACAAGAGATTGAGGAACAAAAACAAGTGAGAAACACAGTAAAGAACTCAAATACTTCAAACGTCTGATGATGAAGAACTACTACATGAAGGCTAACCTTTGTGATTCAACAACTCTTCAACAATACTCTGTTCATCCAACAATAATCTGGCTCTGTTTCAGCCTCTCTCTTTCACTGTAGATCTGAAAGAATCTCTTGAGAAAGTGGTCGGTCAATGAAAAAAAAAAAAACAAACTACCACAGTTTTGGACTATATATAGTATAGTGAGAGAGAGAGAGAGAGAGAGAGAGTGCATGTGAGGGAGGAGAAAAACAAACAAAAAAAAATGGTAGAGTGAAGAGAAACTCAAGAAGCCATGTGGGTTCAAAGATCAAAAATATTAGTGTAATGCTATGGCTTTTTTCTTTTTTTCTTTTTTTTTCTTTTTTTATTTATTTTATATTTAGGTAACGTTCATTCATGATTCACAGTTCCTGTTAACTCTCTAGCTTCTTCTATCAACTTCACAATAGGGATTGATTGAGATGGTTTGGCAGTAAAACAAGACCAATCCAGTGTTATAGAATTAAACTAATTCATAAAATCTTGGAAACCAATCTGAATCACACCACTAAACCATATGGTTCGATTTATAATCATGAATTTTAAATATATTATCATTGTTCACAATCAGCACAACTCAAGAATTGTTAAGAATTGGTTATATGATTTTTTAAAATTAATTTTATCACTGTATAAAAATATATTTATAATAGTTGAGACTTATAATTTATAAAAAAAAAAATTATCGCACGCACTTGTATATCATATGTACGTTTAATTACGTTATTTTCTTTTTTAATTATAATATTATTTTGAAATATTTGATTAAGACTTATTTGTGTTTAGTTATGATTTTTTTTTATTAGTTATAACTCAAAAATTATAAAATAATGTCTTTTTTTTTATAATTATAAGGTGCATATGGTACACACCCTTTGAAATATGTATACCAATCTTTCCCATAATATATATATATATATATATATTTTTTTTTTTTTCTTTTTTTTTTTTTTTTTTTTTACCTGAAATAGAATTTCGGGGCATTCGAGCCCCGAAATTACGGGCCCTCAATCACTTCCGTATATATATATATATATATGATATTAATAAAATATTTTAGTATCTTCAATAACAAATTATACATAATTTAAACGGTCCGATTCGACTCTAGTAAGTTTTATAGTTATAAAATGATGGACCGAACCGTGAAGTACAATTCATCTATTTTAAAAATCAAAATCCAATTGTGTATTGAAAAGACCAAATCAAATTATGAGATTGATTTGGGTTAGACCGATTTAAAATTTTTTTAGTGTTTTTTGTTCGACCCAACTTCACAAAAAAAAATTATATTTGTTAAGTGGTTGTCCAGACCAGCAGCTTACATGGGCAAATTTCCAATGACCCACTAAAATAATTCAAACTCAGCTTCTGTTTGGTAAGTGGATTGATTTTTTGGCTTTTTAATTTTTTTTTACTATTTTAACCTGGACTAAAAAGCTTGGTTTGAGAAGGATTTTTTGACTTTTTAACTTTTTTGACTTTTTTTCTGAGAGAAGAGTAATGATTATAGATTAAATGTGATGTTTTATTTGTTGTGACTAAAATAATCTATTTTATTTTTTGTAATTAAAATAACCAAAATAATCTTTAAACCTTATTCCGAAACGGTGCCTCAATATGTTAAATTTTATTTACTAGTTTTCACTGCTCAACCAACCTATGGTCAAATTCGCAATCCCATCATTCATGGATCCATCTCTCCTTCTGTCTTCCTTTCTTTTGTAGAAAAATTTTATGAGAGACATATGCCCCCAATTATACGTATGTGATCTTTGGTTAGTTATGAATTGATTATAATTCAATTATGGTTTATTAGGCTGTTAGTTATAATTTAAAGCAGTGCTATTTATACTTTCTTAGAAAAAAATTCTATTTCCACACATTTCAATGCACACACTTAATAAATATTATTTTAATGACAATTATATCTTAAACTAAAATGACACCCATAATATTATATGAAAATATTTTATATGCACATCTTTTAAAAAAGTCACAATATACATCTTTTGAGTAAAAAAAAAATTAAATCCTAATTTTTTTGTTATTGTTACTTTACATGCTACACACTCTATACTCTTCTATTATTTACAAAATAATATTCCTGTAATAGCTCTCATATTATTTTAATCCCAAAGTTTACACTCTTAGGCCCCGTTTGTTTTGGGTTATAGCAAGGGGATTAGGATTACTAATACCTTGGGATTAGTATATGGGGTGTTTGTTTTGAGAGATAACCTTGGGACTACTAATACCTTGGGACTAACTAATACCTTGGTATTACTAATACCTTGTTTGTTTTGAGAGATAGGGAGGGTACTACTAATACCTTGGTATTACTAATACCATTGGGGAGGGGATTCATAGTAAGGAGGTAGAGATGGTATTAGAAAAATAGTGAGGTTCGTTGGATTATATATCCTATCTTAACTAATAGTCAAGTTTAAAATAATTAATCCGTACTTCAATTGTTTAACCAAACATCGGATTAATAATTTTATTGGACTATTAGTCCAATCCCAAACTCATGTCCACCCAAACAAACATGTCCTTAGTGATAAAAATGTTATTAAACTATTGGGCAATAGAGGGGAAAGAAAGTAGGGAGCCTCTCTCTCTCTAGAATGTAGAGAGAGAAAGCTTCCTCCCATGTAGTAGGTTCCATAGATTTGCAACATATTGTGTGAGAGAGTGAGTTTTGAGTGAGTTTTTCAGTGTCGATTCATCTGTTTGAAATAGAAGATGAGAAATGGATATAGAATATTTTGTTTCAACACCTCCGGCTAGATTGTATCTTCTCTACCCAAGACCTTGGGGGTGAGTAACATGTTTGTTTGCTATTACAGATTTGTGCTAAGGAAAATGGAAACCGTGGCTCCTCTCTCTAGATCCTAGAGAGAGAAAGCTTACTTCGTCGGCGATGAATACAAACCATTGTTGTTCTCGTCGTTGATAGGTCAGACGGTTGGTGTTCGAGATTTAGCTCTGACCATGGTGCTATGTGACTAAGCTCCGGCTTCAATAGAGGATTTTCTCTTCACTATACTTCACTTTTCACCGTTGTCTTGAATGATCATCACGTGGATCCACAATGGGTCTAGAAATTCGGAAGCAGGGTCACCGGAGAGTTTGTGTGTATACAATAATTATTAGTGAATGGTATAATTGTAACTTTTGGTGTATAGATTGAAAAAATTAATTAATAATCAAATTAATAAGTGTGTGAACTGAGAGAAGATATCTACTAAGGTAATTAAGTGTGTGTTAGGACTACATCGAGTGCTTCCATTTACACACCATAATTTATCTCAAGACAAATCATTTCTAAAAGCATACCTTTAATAATTTGGTAAATATATATTTTGCTCATCACACACCACAAATTTACATATTCACCCTTACTCACACACCTATTCACAACAATATACACACAAACTCCTATATTTACCCTCACTCACTCATACACCCCCACACACCCACCTTCTTCCTTCTCCTCCTCTCCATTCTCTGTTTCGATCGGTGAACACTGTGTTGATGCTCAACACAGAGTAAAGCAAGTAGTGAAGACGTGGGTGGTTAGGGCTGAGTAAGGAATCCGTAATCCGATCCAGTCCAGTCCAATCCGATAGGTTTGGATTAGTTTTTTGAATCCGCGGTTCGGTTTCGGATTGAAGAATTAAAAATCCGTAGTCCACGGATTGGTTCCGGATTGAACCCTACGGTTCCGGATTGGAACCGATCCGGACCGTATACAAATAGTCTATATTTTTATTATACATCCTCCCCCATAGTATCTTCTCCTATTCTATATAAAATTTAAACTCAAACCTAAACCGTATAATATCTTATTTTATTACTTTTGTTTGTATTTTCTTATGGTTGTTTAAATTCAAGAACAGTATGTCACTATTATAGAAAAACATGTTGCTATTATGGAACTGATATAGCGCTATGTTTATATTTTTATGAAATTAAAGTGTTATATATATATATATATTTGTTATTTAATTATGTGAATCCGTGGTCCTAAACCGATCCAATCCGTATTTAAATGGATTGGTTTGGATTGGTTCCATGATTTAAACGGATTGGATTGGTTCCAATTTTTCAGGAACCGTAGATAACGGATTGGTCCTGGTTTTACCCAAATCCAGTCCAATCCGGACCATGCTTACCCCTATCGGTGGTGCTCAAGTAAAGCATTAGGTGAGTTCTCATTTGGCTTAAATTTTAGGGTTTTATGTATTTTTTACCATTGCCATGAATGAATCAGTTCCAAACCGTTCGTCACTGTAATTTCGAACCCCAAAAGTTGTACGGGCTCATTCAATACTTGACTTTCGAACACAATCATTTTGTCCACTTGTTATTGTCAAACTTGTTCGGACCTAGATTGTTGAACTGTAATGCTTTGTTCGATTCTTTACTGTCGAACATTTTTTTTTTCTCCCCACATTGGGAAAGTTTATAATAAATTGATATAACCAATATGTTATAGAAGTTGATGAACACAAAAACTAAAGTTAGAATCGAACAAAGAAAATAAATAAATGGATAAGATTTTTGAAAAACAGACTTTATTGATAATTTTTTTAAAATCTTATCTATTTAGAAAATAATTGTCACTAAATTTAAAATCTTATCCATAAAAATAAAAATAAAAATATAACTAAAAGGAAAATTAAAAGAAAAAGAAAATGGTTGTCACTTTGACATGAATCATTCTTATATTGCTAAAGAAAACCAGCATTTGACTTGGGATTATTTTACTACTAACATCAAAAGTGTTCTAACTCTGTCCAAAAATTTTAAGCTTATTAATTCAATAGATGAATCTTGACCTCTGTGGGCAGACCAATTTCCCCTATATATGTTGAAGGTTGGTCTGTCTACAGCAGCTGGATTTGAATGGGCTTCTAACGACATCATTGCAGCTTCCATGAGAATCAATTAGTTATAACTTAAAAACATGTCTCCATAAGAATGACAACCATATTCAAAATCATAAACAAAGACAGAGTTGGTCCACACTGAAGCAACAAAATGAACTAAAATAACTTGGATAGTAATGAAGTTACATGTTACATCATTAAATAAAATTCATAAGGTGAAAAGAATAACAATCCAAATGCATCAAATAGAAATCCTCACCTTTGTAACCAAGAACACAAGCCCCACCAACGAAACCACCAACGGCCCCATTGATGAAGTCCCTCTTCATCCTATAATTATGCAACAACTTCTCTATGCCTATGTAAACACCACCAA